GGGTGGAATGCCACTTACATAATCTGGCAGGCTGCAGTTGTGCCGTTTGTTATAAAACCCAGCTTTTTCTTTTTTTTCATCAAAATTAAAAACCTTGGGCTTCCCTGGTGGCGCGGTGGTTGAGAGTCTGCCTGCCGATGCAGGGGACACGGGATCGTGACCGGGTCTGGGAAGATCCCACATGCCGCGGAGCGGCTGGGCCCATGAGCCATGGCCGCTGAGCCTGTGCGTCCGGAGCCTGTGCTCCGCAATGGGAGATGCCACAACAGTGAGAGGCCCGCATACCGCAAACAAACAAACAAACAAAAAAATTAAAAACCTTTTGTTTTAAAGGAAAAAAATCAAGAAAGTAAAAAGACAACCCATACAACAGGAGAAAAGTTTTGCAAATTATATATCTGATAAGGGATATAGTGGATGTATTTTAAAAATTAAAAAAATTTTTTTTTTATAGTGGATGTATTTAAAAAAATTTTATAGTGGATGTATTTTAAAAAACTTTTTATTGGAGTATAGTTGCTTTAAATTAAAATTTTAAATTAAAATTTAATTAAAAAAATTTTTATTGGAGTATAGTTGCTTTACAATGCTGTGTTAGTTTCTACTGTACAGAAAAGTGAATCAGCTATACATATATATATATCCCCCCATTTTTGGATTCCCTTCCCATTTAGGTCACCGCAGAGCACGGAGTACAGTTCCCTGAGCTATACAGTAGGTTCTCATTAGTATCTATTTTATACATAGTATCAATAGTATATATATGTCAATCCCCATCTCCCAATTCATCCCACCACCCACCTTTCCCCCTCGGTAAACCCAGCTTTCTTAAACCAGTAGAAACCTCTAAGATCTTTTCAAAATAGGAATCTTTCCATTTTCTATTGGAGACAATGCTCACAGCATGAGTAATGCCCATCAGTTATCAGTTATTTAGCAGATTGTGCCAGTGTTGACATTTATTCTTGGCTTAATTGTGCATGAGTGTGTGTTTTAAACAATGATGCAGCTGTCCCCATTCCCGGCAATTAGGATATAAAAATGGTGTTCGCTGAATCTGGCAGAGGGACCAGTTCTCCATGTGTTTACTCTTTTGTTTGTAAGGCCTTCTGAGTACTTGCTGCAACTCTACAATCAGAATATCAATTTGGCTTAAAATAGAGCCATGTTTCCATTAATAGGATCAACAGGGACTGCAGACCTCCATGTTTCTAGATCTTCAGTCTCTGACTCCATCATAGATGCTTGCGATTGTGTGTATGTGAAAGACACTTCTTTGACTTCCTGTGGAGACAGGTTTAAAATGCCATTAGGATCAGAAGAGCAGTGTCAGCAGAGATCTGGACTATTGCTAATCATCTGCAGAGTATCAAGCGATCCAATTACCTCCCATATATAAGTTCCAGGGCCCCCGTGGACACCAAAATCCACCAGTGCTCAAGTCCCTTACATAAAATAGCATAGTATTTGCATAAAACCTATGCACATCTCTAGACTGCTTATATTACCTACTACAATGTAAATAGTTGTAAATACAGTTTAAATGCTATGTAAATAATTGCTGGTACACAGCAAATTCAAATTTTGCTTTTTGGAACTTTCTGGAGTTTGGATTCTTTTCCAAATATTTTCAATCCCTGGTGGGTTGAATCTGAGGATGTGGAACCTGTGGATATGGAGGGCCCACTCTACTGCCACGAGATTCTATCTATGGCTAAGGCCAGCATCAATATTCTTCGCTGCTGATTCATGCAGGTGACCAGGCCATTGAGGAGAGACAGTATCCATGGTCTAAAGCTGTTATTTTCTCTTGACTATTTTGGCTCTTGGCTTGGTGGGCTTTTTGCTATTAGATTAGCTAGTTAGTATCAGCTAGGATGGGACCAGTTCCTTATTAGGTCACGGCAAGTCTGAATAAATTACCTATGAAAAAATAACTTATCCATTTGGAAACTGTTTAGCAGTAGTCACTACAGCTGAGCATTAAGTACTCCATGCCCCAGCAATTTCACTTCTAAATCCTGATAGCCAACGGATATGCACGCATATATTCACCAAAAGATGTGCACTGGAATGTTCATGGCTGCAACTACGCAGATGTCTGTCAACAGGAGAATGGATAAACAAGTTGCACTACAGTCCAACAATGGCATACTATAAACTAAACTCCAACTCACAAGGCATTAGTTTTCTGTTGCTGTGAAACAAATTACCACAAACCTAGCAGCTGAAATCAACACACACTTACCAGCTCACAGTTGTGCTAGTCTTAAATCTGGGCCTGGTGTAGCTGGGTTTTCTGCTGAGGGCCTCACAGGCTGAAGTTAAGGTGTTAGGTGCTGAAGCTCAGGGTCCTCTTCCCAGTTCATTTGGGTTGTTGGCAGAATTCGGGCCCTTTTTTGTGACTGGAGGACTGAGGTCCCTATTTCCTTGCTGCCTGTCACCAGGAGCCAATGTCAGCTCCTAGAGGCCGTCTGTATCCACGTGGACCCCTCGATCTTCAATACCAACAATGAAGAATTTCCCTTGTGTCAATTCCTCTCATATTTCATTTCTCTTTCACCAGAAAAAGCCCCATCCTTTTTCAGGGCTCATGTGATGAGGCCCACTGAGAACAATCTCCATACCTTAAAGCCAACTGATTTGGGTCTTAATTACATCTGCAAAATGCCTTTACAGCAGCACCTAGATTAATGTTCAGTTGAATAACTGGGAGAGGCTGCGAGTACAAGAGAGGATGAGGAATCTTGGGGGCCATCTTATAATTCTGCCTACCACACAACAGGGATGAATCTCACAGTCAGTATTGGGCAAAGGCAGTCAGACATGAAAGAACATATAATGTATGATTCCATTTCCATCTTCCATAAAATGCAAGAAAAGGAAACACTGATCTTTGGTGTTAGAAGTCAAATGGTTCTTGAGTGTGTAGTAACTAGAAAGCTGCAGGAGGAGATTCTGGGGGACTGATAACGTTTTCGTTTCTTGATCCGTGTGTGCCGATTACATGGTGTATTTAACTTGTGAAAACTCAGCAAGCTGTACATTTTTAGCATAATTTGGATTTATTATTTTAAAATAGAGTCGTTTGGTTTTTCCAGGGAAGCGTGCATCCAAAGACAGCTATAAGTGTCGGTACCTGATGTGAGTGGAGAATAAGCAGGAAAGGAAAGGAGACAAGAGAGTGCCTTGCCTGGCGTGATGGTGATATACCTTATGCACACTGTGGGCAAGGGCCAACTAAGTGAAGAGCTAGGACTCTGTTAACTTGAGCCTGCATGCTGGACCTGCTACATAATTTATGTGGCCCATTGCAAAGTGAATTACTGGGCCTCCTTGTTCAAAAATTGAGAATTTGAAGACAGTAAGAGTGGAACGTTAAGCTAAGGCTGAGGGTGTGGGTTACGGCACTGGTCCCACTCCCTGGAAGCCAACCCTGCCTGTGGGTGTGGGAGAAAGAGATACCTCCCAGATTCTAGTCTTTGAGCTTTGAACCTATTGACTGTAGACTGGGTTAGCTGGAACCTAGGAGGTGCTAACTCATTAGTACATGCAAAAGCAAGCATTTTGATGTGCAAGACACCAATCAAATGTGGGGATTATAAAAATAATGGACCATCTAAATGTTTATGTATTATTTCTTTCGTTGGCTAAAATGCCTACTGGCAACCTCATGGATAATATGCATTTGATACATAGATAGCACAGGGTCCACTTTCACCTTGTAAATTAGCATGAATTCCAAGACATTGGTGGAACGCTAATCATGAGATTTAACCATGTGTTCTTTGGTCTTTTCAGTTCAAAGAGCGAACTATTAAATGCCGAGACCAGAATATTGGAGTCTGGGTACTTCACCGTCAAAGTTCTTTTTCTCGCTGAGAGATTCGAGTTGCAGTCAAGTTCCAAGTTGAAGCCCCGACCTGACTCTAGAACCTCCCCGACTGGCTGGAGGGCCCTGGGAAGGGGCGCCCTAGAATCATCCAGTGAGGGCTACGTGGTGACCGCCGGGGGCACGTGACTCCCAGGCGGTGGAGACTCGCAGTGCCAGGCTGCCAGGGCTGTGGCTGGGCGTGCGGGGTGGGGTGCGGGGTGAGGGGAGGAAGGGGGAGCACAGTTCGAGGTTAGGATTTCTGATTTCGGCTTTGGCATTGCATTTCTGTTTATTTTTCCCTGGTGTGCACTCTTGAAGCACAGACCTTTCTAGACAGTGACTTACTAAAGCTTTGGGGGACAGTGGCTCCCGAAGGCGGCCAGCTGCCTGACCTAAGATTTACAAGTGGTTCCAAGGATGAGACAAGGTCCCAGTGTCTCGGTGACAATGAGGTCTTTGACGAACAGGCGGGAGCTGCGGCTGGGGAGTGCGAGGAGGCCTGTGGCCCTGGCGGAGAGCCCCTGAAACTCCTCCCTGCTGGAGTGGGGCTCCCGGGACGCGGGCGGGCGATCCCGCAGGCCATCAGCATGCAGGAGCCGCGCGCTCCGTCCTTGAAGGGCTACCCAGCTGACCTTGCTCCGCTTTCTCCGGAGAAATCTCCCCGAGAGCGTGAGGACGCGGCCGCGGCCGCGGCGGTGACTCGGTGCCTTGCGCGCCGCATGCAAACGCTCCCCTCCAGCCAGCCCAGCTCCGCAGCCGCGGTTTCCCTTCCTGCCTCCTTTTTAAATTCCACGATTCAAACCCGGCATTTTCCGCTCCACCCCTTCCCCTTTCCATCGCCCGCCTGTCTTCACCCAGACTGTCCGGGTGTTTTGTCCCCTACCTCCCATCTGCAGAGCTGAAGGCCGACCTTCGCGCTCCCTCGCTGCGGGCCCGGAGATCGGACTTGGCCCGCCAGGGCCGGGCACTGCGCTCGAAGACCGATCCGGAGCCCGGCCGGAGGGGGCGGTGTGCGGCGCTCTCGGGCGCACAGGCGGACCTTGCCCGTGCCCCGCTCCCCATTGGCCGCCACCTCGGCGGGAGGGGCCGCCCGCGCTCAGGGCACCTGGCGTCGCCGCTCCGCAGGGAAATCGGAGGCTGCCGGGCGCGGACGCCGGGAGGGAAAGGCATCCGGAGGGAAGGCCCGGGGCCGCTGTCGAGTTCCCAGCGGCCTGCCCTGTTCTGCCAGCCGCCCCGCCGCGGGCGATGCTCGGATGCCCCTGCTCCGTCTTCGCCAGCCGGAAACTTTGCCCGGAGAAGTCTTCCACCCTCCTGACCGCACGGAGAGGCGCCTGGTGGGCCGCGCGCCCCCAGGGGCCCCGCAGCCCCGCGCGTGATTGCGGGGGCCCCCAGGCGCCTGGCGCACGCCGCGACCCGCCGTGCGCGAGCGGCCGCCAGGATGCGCTACGCGGACCCCTCGGCGAACCGGGATTTGTTGGGGAACCGAACTTTGCTCTTCATCTTCATCTGCGCCTTCGCCTTGGTGACCTTGCTGCAACAGATCTTGTATGGCAGGAACTACATCAAGAGGTAAGAAAGTCCGAGCGCGGGTCGGGGTGCGCGGAGCCCGCGGGTGAGTCCCCAGGTGGCGGCCGCAGCGTCCGCCTCGGCGTCCCCGGGGTGAGCGACCGTGGGTCTGAATTTAGCCTCGAGCACCGCCACGTTAGGTTCGGGTCACCGCTCTCGAAGCGCATCTCTCCTCCCAGCTAGAGGAGAACGCCTGTCCAGCGCTGGCCGGAGGCGCCCAACAACTTTGTTCTGTTGTGAAAAATGGGGGACAGGTTGGAGTTCGGAGCGGCCAAGCTGACAATAAATCCATGTGAATGCCCTGAGCGGCCTCAGGGGTCAGATCGGTGTCCCCAAATCTACAGCGCCATGGCCATTTGGTTGGAGGGGAGGCTGCCGGGTGTGGAGGGCTCAAAATCGGATAGGCTTACCACTCGAGTCCTGAATTTTTGTGGGGGCCCTTAGGGGAAAAAGCATATTGTTCCCCGCAGGAGTGCCGGGTTCGGTTGGGGGGATAATGGGCTAGGACGATGCGACCGAGATAGTGAATCCTTATAAACCAGTAACCACTGGATCTGTGAAACTCACAACCTGATCCCTCTGAAACAGATGGTTCTTTCTCATCCTTACGCGGAAGGTCAGAGCTGCAGCAGAAGTTAACCCTCCCCTCCTGGGCTCTCTTCCCACCCCACCCCACCTCATCCACGGGCAAACTCCATTAAGAGACAGAGCAGTAGGAGGTATCCCTCAGAAGCTTGGGCCCAGCCTCAGTCCCTGTGTGTGCGGAAAATATAGGGAAATGCCAACCGTTTTCGTCTGCCTGCCCTGCTGGCAGGGGAACAGCTTCGGGTTACTCTGCCTGGTTTCAGGGCTTGGGGAGAGGGCTGCCCCAGGATCCTCCCATTTCAGAGCCTCTTTTGGAAAGAACCCACCTCTCTTTTCTGCTGGAGGTTTTTCCTTTGCTGTCAGTTGTCTTCCTACTCTCACTGCCCCTCCCCAGCGAGGCTGATAGAAAACAAAATGCCTGGCTAGCTATATAAACATCCCGTCTTCTCTAAACTTCTAAATAATAAAACAGTTGTTCTCTTTTCATCCTTTGGATTCCACATCAGTCATTTGTGCCCCTAGTCTGGGCGGCACTCAGGGATGGGAGAGTGACATTGCTGCTGGGCCTTGGCTCACAGTAGGAAAGCCAAGCAGTTAGGCCATTTTCCGCTCCACGTCCCAGAGCTGGGTAGGATGAGGCCCCTTGGCCAAGACATTTGTTTCCAACCAGCCACTGCTCCTGACCTTCCCAGAGAGCGTTTTTCTCTGGTTGAGGGCAGCTGACGAGCTCTGCCTGGTGCTGGTATCTTTAAAGGACATTTTCAGAGAGTCTCCCGGCTTGCTGGAGCCCATTGGGCCTGCTGCCCTGTAGAGATGACCCTGCTGGGCCCCAAATGGCCTGCTTGCTGCACTTGCTCCTCAGCAGGATGGCTGTGGGTTCCTACCCGCTGCTGGCACCTACCCAGAGCTGCCGGGGCTGCCGGGATCGTTGCCGTCTCGTCAGCAGCAGGAGAATATCCGTGCCCACGGCAAACGGCAGCTCAGCTTCTAAGTGCTTGCCCCGGCAGGCCCTCCTTGATCTTGGGTGGATGTGCCAGCTGCCCAGAGCTCAGCGGGCATACCAGTTGCATCCTATCTTCTCACACGAGACCCTGAGCCCCTCAGTCTCAGAGGCCGCCTCACAGGCCTCACTCCAGGGACTGAATGAATCCAATCAAGCAAGCAAAAGTTGCATGCATTCAATCCTGGAAGGGCACCATGGGGTCTTTAAAGAAGATGATGTGGTCCTGGCGTTCAGGGGGCTTGATGCCTACTTGGGGAAACACAATGGCCACAAATGAGATAGGAATGAGTGTTGAAATGTTTAAGGTGGGAGGCACCACTGGGCTGGAGCTGTTAGGGAAGGCTGCCCGGAGAAGGCTTGACCTGAGTGGGCCCGTGAAGGAAGGGGAAGCTTTGGGCAGGTGAGCGGAAGTGCACATCAGGAACCGAAGAGGGCAGGAGCAAAGGTGCGGAGATGTGGCACCGCCTCCTTGCACCTCTCCCAGGTTGACCCTACCTGTGCTGTCACACTTGGCTTAACCTTTGGTTAGCTGCTCCTGGGGCTGTCCTGACCCTGAACCAGGTTGCGGCTGCCACATCCGAGCACGAATAGCACCTGCTCCCCTATCTTGTTTCCTACACATCTCATCACTGTAATGAATCAACTTGATGGGATTGTTGGTCTGTCTCCTGTGTAGAAACACTTGAGTGTTCCTCCAGCAGATGTCTTGGAACAGCCTGCATCAGAGTCACCTGCATGGACATTGAAATGCAGATTCCTGGGCCCCTCTCTGGGGGTGGGATCCAGTAACCTGCTTTTTTAACAAGCTCCTCAGTTGATTTGTAACAAGTCCTCTCTGCTGCTCTAGGCCCGTGGTTCTCAATAGAGGGCAGTGTTGTTGCCCAGGCAATGCCTGGAGACACTTTTGCTTGTCACAGTGGGGAGAGGAGAGCATCTGGCATCTCGCAGGCTGAGGCCAGGGATAGGGCTAAAGATGCTGCAATGCATGGCCCGTCCACGACAAAAGACTTATCCAGCCCCAAATGTCAGCAGTGCTGAGGGGGAGAAACCCTACCCTAGATGAAAAGTCCATGAGGTAGTGGTTCAGTCTGTTTTGTCCCCCGCTGTACCCTGAGCGCCCAATATGGTGCCTGGCACATAGTCGGTTCTCAGAATATTGGGTAATGAAGAAATGATTGAAAGTGGTATGTGCATGCACACGGGCAGGGGTAGTGATCACAGGGACACAGCGAAGACGTGGATCCCACTGGCGTAAGGGGGAGGGTAGGGAAGGAAGAGACAGACTTAATATTGGGTCAGCGGCTTCAGTGAAGTGCTTTGCGGATTGGGAAGGACAGCTGGAACTTGGTTCATTAGGCCATAGGGAGCCCCCTGTGGTCCTTGAGTAGAGTAGGGATGTGATCAAAGCCTTCTAAGGAAGGGGTAGAGAAGGGGAGGCTGTTGTCACAGCCTGGTCAGAAGTGAGGAGAACGTGGTGCTGGGGGCAGATCTACTTTGGAGCCAGGGATTCATTTGTCCATTCTTTGCTTCTGTGCTGAGCTGTGTGGATACATTCGGCAGAGCCTTCATTGTTTGATGTGACACAAAGAGCTCAGGGGCACAAAGAGGGCCAGCTGTTCCGGTGAGAATCAGGGACAGATTACACCCGAAGGAAGTGGGGGTGTGAGTCAGTCTGCATTCTTTCTTTGGGCCCCTGGCTTCTCCCTGTGCTGTACAGGGGACACTGCCGGGAAAGGGAGTGGAGGGGAGATGGAGGGGAGGGGGAGGGAGGGGGAGAGGAGGAAGGTGGGGCAGCGCAGGTGGCTTAGTGGGGGCTCAGGGTCTCTACAGGAGAAGGTGCACTGTATGTGGATTAGGAGGGAAAGACAAGAAACAGAGCTGTGAAGTTTGCCCTTGGTGCTTCCTGGCTCCACATCTGCTCTTGATTGAACAAATCCTTAACGAAGATTTCCTACACGCTGAACATCACAATGGTGTGCAAGACAGACACAGCCCAGGGTTCTCGGGAGCTCACAGTCTATGGGGAAGACAGAAGGACACATAACACATACACAAGCCACACTGGAGGTGTGGACAAGGAACTCTAAGGATGTGGAGGGAGCCATAGTGAATCAGGGTGTCTTCAAGGTGCAGGGAGGCATTTGAAGGAAGTCTTAAGGAAAGGGGAATGACCCATAAGAACATGGGAAATGTGGAAGGATGGGGGAAGGTACCCAGGTTGAACAATGGTAGAAAGGTGCAGGGGAGACTTGAGTAATTCTTCATACCTCCTATGTAGCTGGGGGGCAGGGTGGGGCAGGGTGAGGCAGGCAGGGCCGGGTTATGCAGAACTAAGTGGGAAATATGTGAGAAGGAGCTTGTCTGGAGCAAAGAGGGTAACAAGTTCGAGTCTAGATCTGCTCAGACCCTGCAAGGCAATCCACTTGGAACTCTCCAGCAGCTCACTGGAAAGGAGCTCGGGAACTGTGGGTGGACAAGAGCCAGACTAACAATGGAGATATGGAGTCGCCAAGCATCAAAATCAGCATTTATCCAACTTTTAGGATTCTTATCCACAGTTGAGAGATATGTTGTACCCAGGGATCCAGGACACACTCACATACACATCCGTCTGAAACAAGCATTTTGTGAAAGAATATTTGGCTTTATTATGAGAAATTCACTTTAGTATTTTCTATTCTACTTCATTAAAAAATTCTGTTTCACTTCATTTAAAACATAAATTTAGGCTTAAAAAGGAAATTCGTTTTAATTTTTATTGTGGTATAGTTGTTTTACAAAATGTGTTAGTTTCTACTGTACAAAAAAGAAATTCTAATGCATGCTACAGCATGGACGAACCTTGAAGATGTTATGCTAAGTGAAATAAGCCAGTCACAAAAGGACTAATATTGTATGGTTCCACTTATATGAGTAGTCAAATTTATAGATACAGAAAGGAGAATGGTTGCCAAGGGCTGCAGGGTGGAGGAATAGGGAGTAAGTGTTTAAGGAGTACAGAGTTTCAGTTTGGAAAGATGAAAAAGTTTTGGAGATAGATGATGATGATGGTTGCACAACAATATGGTTGTGCTTAATATCGCTGGACTGTACACTTAAAATGGTAAATTTTATGTTATGTATATTTTACTGCAATAATTTTTTTTTTTAATTCTGGGGGCAAACCACTGAATTGATTTTATAATCTGTTGGTTGAAACCCTTAATTAGAAAAACACTGGCCAGTGTGATGGAATTGGATGAAATCACCCAGGAGAGAGCAGAGTGAAAGGTGTAGATGGGCAGGAGCACAGTGGAGGGCCTCGAGGGGTGACTGCACCTAAGGGCTTGAGAGAGGAGAGCTGGCCGGAAGCTGTAGCTGCAGAGAGGTGCAGGGCAGGGAGAGGATGGGGGTGTTGAGGAAACTAGGGATAAGG